TACCTACCAACCAATAGGCTACGAGCCTCACCTTCATCTAGTTAAAACCCCTCCTAAATATTGTAGCTAGAAACAACCTACTTAGATACTTGTAGGCCTAAAAACCCTACACGTCTTATATAGCCCTTCGGGCTGAAAAAGGACGTTAAACTAGAATAATAATAATAATAATAATAATAACCATGGCGCGCGTGTGGATGAAGTCGAATTGCTCGTGGAAGATCCATTCTTGCTCGCAGTCATCGATCAGAAACTCGCAGTTGGGTGGCAACTGGACTGGCTGGATGGGACTCAGGTCGGTGCCGAGAATCCTCGAGGACGGATGCTCGTCAGCGAACTCAATTGTCCATATGCCAGTGCCACATCCCACATCGAGGACGTTTTGTACATGTTTGGGGATCGGCGCCCGATACAACTTACCGTCGAGGCTGAGGCGGAAGGCATGATGTTGGAGATCAAGTCTGTCGGCCTCGGTCTAGCACAACGGCGTGAGCAGCTGTTCTGCCTGGGACGGTGGTAGCATGGGAGCAAACCTCGTCATTGGGCACTGGATACTTGCCCTCGCAGTAAGCGTGGTACCGTCGGCCGTTTTCATAGCGAAAGTTGAAGACGGAAGACGTCGCGGACATGGTATAAGAAGACCGGTTGTCACCAAGAGCAGAGTCGCGCTCGTCGCTCTGCTCCTCACTCTATCGAGACCTGTCTGTCAGACAAGCTTATCGTTTCAGAATCTGGGGGAGGGAACGCACATCGACTTCGAGCGCCGGGCCAGAGCTGCTAGCCCCTCCATCAGTTGCAGGATCATCATAGCCATCTGCATTGGTCTCCAACGCATCATTTGACGACGACATTGTTGTGATCGCTACTGGGAAAGCGAGGTAGGCCCAGTTTTTCGTTCGGAGTGCCTGGCGGCGTGCCCTGAAAAGGTCGCGGGGAATTCACTAAGTACCGACGACGGAGGCGTATCAAGTGATGGGCACTGGGTTGGTTAGGCTGGCATTCTTTAGGCAGTCTGTCCAATCAAGTCAGTTCCATGTGCAGCTCACCCGAATTGATTACGGCCGGGCGTCTTTCGGGAGCGGCCGATTTAGTGTCTGACAGCGCACGCCATCGGGTTGGTGGAGTGCTCCAGCGTATCGAGATGGCTGCTCACGTCTGAGTCGTGCTACAAGTGTTATCGGGTCCGAGACAACAACCGCCAAGATACCCTGTCGACAGTCTGGTTGGTGTTTATGTGAATATTCCGAGAATTTGGCTAGATAGAGTTCGCATTGGGTCTTACTAGAGCACGAGACGCCTATATTTGAGGGTTGGGTACGTATGGTGTGCGGGAGACGGGACGACGGGATGACGGGCGGAAGACCGCGCCTATCCAAGACCGTGATTTGCTGACGACACAGGTGCTGGTCAGTATTTGTTGGAGGAGGGCATGTAGCCCGAGGCTAGTCGATGAGATTGATACGCTCGTGTTTCCAATCGGCGAAGGCGTGGATAGGCATAGGGCCGTCGTCACAGCTGAGAAAGTAAGTGCACGTGACTACGCTAAGACGCGCACCGTCTTTCCCCGCAGCGGATGCGAGCGAAGCAAGAGCTGCCTTAATTTCCCTATAGCCGCGATACAATCTAACGCATGCGTGTACCGCTGCAATTGCAATTCCTCGGTCAGCCGACATGCATCGTGACGGGGAGTTGGTTCGCCCCATCGTATGATCCGCAACAGACTCGCCACATGAGTGGTGCTGGTCATTTTGGTCGCTTCTTGGTCTCGCTACGCTCCCCCAACCAAACCTCCTGCGCTGCAATCGCCAACATTCTGACACGGAAAAGGTCACTTTACCCGCGCTTACCGTCCGGTGTTGGCTGCATTGTCGGCATGCATGCCACGAACACGTCCGTGTACCTTGCCTTATCACGGCTGGTATTAGATCGGCCGCTTCCAGAATCATGTCGCGATGCCGCCAAAACAGACGGCGTCCGCAACCAAAGGATACCAACGGGATCTTCATAACAGACTCATGGTGAGGAAGAGGCAGGATTGGCGGCAGCACAAACACGGGCGTATGAGATTCACCGCCGCTTCGACCTCGGCTTGCCTTCTTCGTTGATGCGCCTTGACCGTTGACACGACACAGCAGCTCACCGTACGTTCGAGATCCCGAACCCTTGGAACAGAAATTCAGGGGTGGGTTGGATGGATACAAGAAAGCACAGACTGGGACGGTTGCCGTGCTCAGGCAGATCAAACAGGCACAATCGATGTCGTTGGAAATGATTAAGATTACGACTACGACTATGCAGTCAAGCGACTGGTTGTTGCCCAGTAATGCAGCAATGGTAACAAAGAGAAAGAAGTGCCGGGCTCTCACGGCAATGAATAAACCCCCCACATGTCGTCATTAACAAAATAAACATTAAGCAGGCCAATCGACGGTGCTTCAACCGATGAAGCGGCGAGCAACAGTGGCGTTGGATCTGCTTGTTGCTCCGCTAGCCGCACCCACTGGTCCGACACCTGGCAAGGGCTGGAACGCGTCAAAGTTAGGCCAGTTTCCTAGCCCAGCCGGGTCACCACCAATTCGCACCCACTTGGCATGAGACGGCGTGTCTCCAGCGAGGACGAACATGCGGTACCAACCCAATGGCGCAATGTATGGACCCTTGGGCGCCTTGACGGTGCAGCTGTTACCCGAGCAGGATACGCTAGGGAAGAGAATGCGTGCACCCATGGAGCTACCATGTGTACTGGACTCGGCTCCCATAAGCGATACCTTGATGGCACCACCGGGGGTAGACGTGACGGTGAAAGAGTAGTCCGTCTCCCAGATCCAGTCGTTCTGAGGCAGGTCGAATGTCGGCTGCGCGATTCCGGAGAGTAGGTATGGTGGCAGGAAAACCTCCAATCGGTGCTCTTGCGGGTGCTTGTTGTCCTCGGGGTCGGAGCCAGATACCAGGACCCTTCCATCATCCATGACGACTGCCTCTGAGTGGTACATGCGCGGGATGGTTGTATTGGCCATGATGCTCATGCGCTGGTGCTTGGGCTTCCTCGAGTCATACAAGATGGCATTCAAGTTGGATTGGTCCGCAAGACCAAAGCCAGCCTCGCCGAGTTCAGCTCCGTTGAGGATGAGGTAAGTTCCATCAGGCAGCGTTGCCATGCAAGACATGACACGACGAGATGGCATACGCTCAATCGTCCACTCAGGGTTAGCCACATCTGGCTCAATGCTAACACAGTTATCAAGACCCCACCTGGGCGCCCTAGATGCGCCACCACAGATGAGGACCTCGAGAGGTGCATCGTAGGGGTAGTATTGGGGAAGAAGAACTTGAGTACCTTCAAGTGGGTAGGTTCGGCCTCCGCTGGCATCATTGACGGCACCTGGAGCGTTTGGCAGAATCTTGACTGTGTCCAGGGTGACCTCGTCGAGGATGCGTGCTTCGTTGTAGTATTGGATAAAGATACCACCCGATGGCAAGACTACCAGGAAGGGGTACAGGTTGAATGGGTCGGTGTCTTGCAGGTACTGGGCGTGTTTGATTGGCCCGGCCTTAGGCAAGATCTCCATGTTTGGCACTGCAGGACCGTTGGAGCCGTCCTCGCCACCGACGATCAGCATCGAACCATTGGCCATGAGCAGACCGGTGGGGTACCAGCGACCTTGCTGCAGCTTCACAGCGTTGACATCTTCTTGCCAGTTGTTTGTGCCGTTGACACCGAGTTCTCCGTCTGGCCAGTAAATGCGTACTCCGAAGAGCGAATCGGTAGACCATCCACCGATGTTGATCTGGCGGCCAGCACGGTCCGGCAGAGTCAGTCCTGCAGCACAAAAGATGTCCGTCTTGATACCAGTCAGCTCGCGGAAAGCATGGAAGATGTCGCCTCCGATGGAAGGATCGAATTCGTAAGCTCCAGTCGTGTTGGGCTCTCCAGTTCCGTATTTCTCCAGGAAGGACACCTTGCCGGTGATGGAAGGCTGTGAGATCAAAGGAATAATTGGGCCACCAACGAGGAATTCGTAACGTCCAGCTCCGTTGCCTTGAGGATAGTTCCATACGTAAAGTGGGTCGCCGGTGTACTTGTACCAGCTCAGACGGTTGCCTTGGCCGCAGAGCGCCTCAGGCTGTCCGGGGCATGAGGTGGCGCAATCAGACTCTGGGGCAGACGTTGAGCCACTCCTCTCGATACCGTCAAGATCTCCGCAGTAGCATTCCTCGCCATACTCCATTCCCGCTGCCATGTAGCCGAATTGCTGGCATTTGCTAAGGCACCATTCTGGAGAGTTGCCGGTCTGGTTGACGAGCTTCCATGGGAACACTCTGTTGTCATCGCCTTGATCGGTAATGCAGCCTTGATATACCCAGTCGCCAACCTTTTCAATAGGCTTAGGCTGTTGAATAACCTTGATGGGGTCTTGGCTGGAGTAGATGCTCATCCTGTTGGGGCCTCCGCACCATTCGTCCTGGTTTCCAGCGCACTTGGTGTTGCATTCCGAGTCATTATCAGCAAGTTTGCCTCCCATGCGGATCTGTTCGAATTAGCAATTGGCTACAAAAGATGCTGGCGATACTCACCGCATTATCACAGAAGCACTGGTAGCTATACTCCATAGCAGCAATCTCATATCCAGCCTGGGCGCATCGGCTGGCACATGATGCGATTGTCATGCTCTGGTCATCGGGCTGTTGGTTGTTGAGGATACGGAATCCGGGTCCATCGACATAGCAACCCTTGTACTCGAAGCCTGTGGGAAGTCCAGTAGGGGCGGGTGCTGCACTAGATTGGCTAGTGGTAGATGCTGACGCTGATGGTGAAGCAGTCGGATCGGGAGTAGCAGAAGCAGCAGTCGATGACGTGCTCGTTTCTGTGCCCGTGTAGAACTTCCAAAAGGTCAAACGGTCAGGACCACCGCACATTTCCGTGGCATTTCCATTGCAGGCCATGTTGCATCCAGTCTCGCCATCAGGCGCCGGTTTGCCGCTGTTCCTTATTTGATTGTCGCAGTAACACTCGCCGGCGTACTCGGTGCCAGCCAGTATGAAACCTGCTGCTCGGCACGCGTCCTTGCATTTTGCATTGGTCATGGCTCCAGCAACGCCCATTCCAACCGACAGCGACCTTCCCTGGACACTGTCGGTATAACAGCCCTCAGACTGCCATCCTATCTTGGGCGCTGGATCCCCAGTGCTGCTGGGAGGAGTGGACGAGGTGGGGTCCTGTGCACTGGCTTGACATGCCAAAGACAAGATCAAGAGCAACGGGCTGAAGGCCAGCCGGGACGCTCGGTTGCGCTTCATTGGAACACTCAAAAGATACTGGAACGAATGGCGGAGCGAGACAGTATCGAGAAGAGGGCTGCCAGGCAGAAAGAAGTGCCTTGTCAAGCAAGCCTGAGGACGATCAACGGCATCTCAGGGGATATATATAGAGAGATGCTTGCAATATGTCGAGGCAGCAATGCATCCAGATCCAAGGCCCCCATGATGCCCCCGGTAAGATCGCTCCCGCATTGTGACGACTCAGTGCAGCAGGGTCGGTAGTTGGACTAGCAAACTGCAACGATTCAATAGTCGGGTTTCCGTATTGCAGCTGACTTGCAAAACAGGACGAGGCGGCCTGTTGCTATCTTGCTAGTGCTCGCTTAGGGCAGTCGTCCCGTTGCTTGGTATTGCCGGATACGTCTCGCGGCTTATCGCGGCCAATGAGCAGCGGGACTAGACACGCGGTTAATTTATTTCCTCGTGAAATATCGCCTCGGAGTGGGTTGGCCCAGTGCGTCAGACGGTTTGGCAGAGGCGGCAGTCGGGAGGGGGCCATAGTCGTGGCTGTCTCTTGTCACCCCACCGGCGGGCGTCGATCGCAGGGTCCGGGATGCGCCGCCACTATTGAGTGAACCTGTCATGCTAGCGCTGCCAGGAACCAGTTGGAGTGGCAGCGTTGCCGTGTCGAGAATGCCTCGCAGGGCATCAGCATCAGACGACTAAGTATAGCAACCGTCGCGTGGGTCGGACCCTGGGATTGGCTTGGCCGCACCGTCGCTGCTTAGTCACGCGGCTCCTGCTAGCCCGGCCAGTTGGCAGCGTGGGTGCGAGGTCAGAATCGCGATCCCACTCGATCCAGTATCATCTTTGCACCTTGGCAGCTTCACTCCGACTCTCTCGGCCGATGGATGCAACGCAGCGGGTCGATAGATACGCCGTCGACTCGGCATTGGGTGAGACGAGGGGCATCGTATGCTCCATCCTTGCAATCTCATGGCAGCGAAGTAAGGCCCCAGGAGCTCGCCCGAGCCGCCTGTGGCTTTGCTGGTGAGATATGCTGCCGCCAAAGCCTTGCCAAGCCTGGACAGGTACGGTACAGAACTGGCCTTTTGCTGCATACTTACATGGCGCCTCAGGCACCCCAACTGCACGCGAAATGACAAAAGCTCATTCTGTCCTGCCATGTGACTCTTAGCCACGCCCGTTCGGTCCCTTGCTCAGCCAGCCCTGCCAACGGCGCCCCCATTTCGCTACTGCACGAGCGACCACCCTCCGACACTACGCCCTAGTTTGTCTACTCTTCTCCCCGCTGCCCCATATTCACCGGATCAGCTGCCGAAAACGCTCGGGACAGTGGACATAGTGGACTGATATGATGGAGTTTTGCATGCTGGTTTGCACCGCCGACCACGTCACATGCGCACAAATGCTCTTGGACATATCCCCTCTTTGGCCCCCAAGGCAAGATACATTGCTGGCAGCTCTAGTCCAAAGTATATCGCAGCCTGTTGTCCTTCTTTGGGGGCATAATGCCGAGCAGGCCGAGCATTGGAAAGGAGCGAGCTTCATGGTTGGCAATGCCTCCATCCAATGACAGCACTCCGAATCTCGCGGTGCAATCTCCTGCTGTGGCTGAACCTCCCTCGGACTATCGCGTTTGCCAAGCCAAGGCCCAACAACCAGGTGTACCATGCACACACACACATACATACAGAGTTGCTGTGTGATGCCTCCCAAGCAAAATTCGCTAGTCAGTAAGTACTTAGGGGTCTAGCGTGTCTCCACTCTCGATTGGCCCCCGTATTCACACTCCATTTCTCGTCGCCAAAATAGGGCTTGAATTGAGTTTTGCGTCAGCATCTTGTCGTGCATGCCGACGTCGCTGTGTTACCTGACAGTAGGCTGCACATACTTTGTGCATGGGGCCATCCGTCTTTCCGTTCCGCTCAAGCTAGTGTTAAGGACGAGTTTTGGGGGAAGTCATTGAACGGACACGCAATGCGAACGCTTTCTTTCATATCTGGAGCATCATATTTCGACAGATGCGTGTACGGCCGCTTCTGGAACACTGTTGCACGGCCCTTGGTTGTCTGTGTTGGGCACTTGGACCTGGACCCGTTCTCCGATATCCGTGCAGCAGGCCCAAGTCCTCTAATTATTCTTATCAAGCCATGACAGTAACAAAATAGCAAGAGGCGGTCTGACCTTGAAGCTATCAATCTGAGAGTCTCTGTAAGAGCCAGTTACGACAACCGGTGCCATGCTCCTGCAGTGAAAAGGCGTGGTTTTTGGATAAGTTCGTCACAAAAGGCATGTCGTTGATTCTGGAAGAGAACAGTGGCGTCGGCGTAAATTTTGACTTTTAGGTTAGACGTTCCTCTAGCGCCTACTAAGACTGTTGCATGCCCCAACGGCGAAGTATCCTGCTGAGTCTTGAGATTGTTCATTGGTTGTTGAGAGGTGTTTGAGAGATGATGGCTGTCAATAAAGTATAAGAATGTTTACATGGAGGAATCCAAAGTGCTTACTAGTACGGACAATCAAACATACTCGCAAAGACAAATTTCGCAGATGATATTCAAACAGCTCCTTAATTGGGATCTGGGAGCTGAATCAGATGCAGCCGTACTGTGTTGGCATCATCTCCGTTGCGATGCAACAGTATTCAACCACATCCCAAACTCCTAATGATAGGTGAGACGTGAAATGAAGTCGAGAACAAAAAGCTGAGAACGAGAACATAGAGCTGAAAAAAGGGGTTCAGCGTTGAGAGGGGCGTAGGTGAGTTATTCCAAGTCTGGTTAGTGCATGCGGGGTAGCGCGTACTACATGCACATGTCCTAGCAGTCTGCATCTGCATTTCAGCAACATACGTCTGCATGGACAAATGAATTGGTCATGGCGCAGCAGCTCCCACCAATCTGGGCATGCATCTTCGATGTAGACGGCACGCTGATCAACTCGGAAGATATCTACACCGATATCTACAATAACATTCTCCACGAGTATGGCAGGCCCGACTATCCTTGGAGTATCAAGGCTACACAGCAGAGCAGAGGCTTGCAAGTACGTTGCACACAGAAATCAGATTTCTAAGCTACTAACTGTGTATCCAGGGCACCAACCGTCTCTTAGCATGGGCACAAGTACCCCTTACACGCGAGGAATGGGCTGAAAAAGAAAGCAAATATAAGCATCTTTTCAAAAATAGCAAAGCCCTGCCAGGCGTAGATCAACTTCTCACTACACTGAAAACGAAGACGTCACCGCCTATGTCGCTTCTACTCGCCAGCTCCGCAGGGCGCACCAAATTCGTGCTCAAGACATCGAATCTACCAAATATCACAACTGCCTTTGACGATCCCGCATTCCATGTCTTCGGCGACGATGCAGAAATGTCGGATAGCAAGAAGAAGCCCGAGCCCGATATATTTCTGCTAGCGCTGAAACGGCTGAATGCTACGAGAAAGGCACGTGGAGAGCAAGCACTCGAACCGCAAGAGTGCCTTGTATTCGAAGATTCGATTGCGGGTGTTGAGGCGGCGAGGCGTGCGGGCATGCGTGTTGTGTGGGTGCCGCATCCGGGACTGGTGGAAGTGTGCAGGGGACGGGAGATGGATGTACTCATGGGGAGGACAGAGGAAGATGGAAATGTACCTGATTATGGGAGGAGGATTGAGGGCGGTGAGAAGGGCCCTGTTGTGGGTCCTGATGGCCGTATGATGTCGGAGGATGGAGTGGCGGAAATGAGATGGAGTCTAGAGGACTTTCCGTTTCAGGTGTATGGTATTCATGTGGAAGAGCAAATGAAAATATAGGGAGAGAGCGGTTGTAAGTAGATTACAGTCTATAAGACTATTACTGGTTCTCATATGGCGCAATATCATCATTTAGTACATGGAAAAGGATGTCCATGGATAGATTGAATAATGGTCACCTGGTGTGTCAAAGGAGAGTGGTTTTACGCATCGGTATTTCTTTACACGTGCTTGAAGGTGACCGTACATCGCGCTTTACAATACTAGACGGACATTGCAGAAACAGAATTATACGACGAGTTGTAGTCGCAATTGACCTGAATCGACAACAGATAATCTCTGAAGAACTACACGTGATGAACAACCCTATCTTCTCCATAAGTGCTCGTGGTCCTATTGCTGCAACAGTTGCAACAATCTCAGCCCCTCCACTCTGTACACAGTCTGGTTTGGGTCCAAAGGACAGACAACTGATTCCGTACTAGCCACTGGTCCAACATGCCAATCCGTTTCAGGACATTATCTAGGCCTCAGTAGCTAAGGTATCACGTATAAGATTTGCCCGGGATCCAGGGCTTTAATAGATGCTTAGGTGAAACAGGCCTTCATGTAACGAAAGGCTATTAACGATAAATAGGCATACCGAACGTGTCGCCTGCTGCCAGTCGATGGCAGCAGCTGTAAATCCGCTGTTGGGTCGCCGCAAAAGACGCGTCCTCAAGCTTGGCACTTCGCAATGGTGAGGAACTCAGCGGGTCAAGGGGATGGAAGAAAGGTCGATGTGTGTGTGAGAGGACACGGTACTAGGCCTGTTTGAATCTAGTTTCAGCTTGGCATCATCCAGGTACCAGAAGATAGTAACCACCCCCCCCTGCTTCTGCTTCTCCACGATACGGACGGCAGGTACCGCGCGACTCGAGGCCTATAGTACATGTCGCTATAGTTCTCATGCTCCCCATCTAGTGCGTGCAGCGAAACAAAGTACGCGGCATTGACCCCACGCGGCAACATAGTTTCCGCCGGGAGTCGCAATCTGACGTCATCCGTCTCACGTCAGCAGCCCCGCCGGCCTGATGAGGGTGCAGCGGCATCGATATTGCGGAAAATCCATGTGCTTCAGGAGCCGAGATGCAAGACTATCTCGTTCCTCTACCGCACCGACGCGCAAATCGTAGCGGATTCGGTCCGGCTCCACTGCCGATCGTTTCATAGTCCTCCATGCGCCTTTCTTTCTGACACTACACGCTAGTCAGTTAGTTAGCTATGCCTGTACACAACACACTGATGAAGCACATTGGCACAGGAGAGTGGATAGCGTTCAGCTGGTCATACGCAAGGCAGTTACTTGGACAGTACGGGAAAACTGCACGCGGAGCCTCACTCTAAGCATGGTGTGTTGAGGAGGAGCTTTCAACGTGATGATGAAGTGTGACTTGGTATGTCTGGCACCTCCTTTCACATCACCCACAACCCGTGCAGTTACAGTCATACCTCCAAGTTGCCATATGGCCTGCGGCAGGAGGGCCAAGATCCAAGGTGGAACAATGGATGACAGAAGTATAGCGTAAGCAGGCAGGACGGGTGATTGGCACAGGCATACAGCGGCAACGCCACAGTCTCGGTACACAGCGTATTGGAATAAGGCCATCTTGGCTCGCTATATTCCAAATCATGAGCTTGAGCGTAATGCTCAGGTATGTCTAATGGGCAGATGATAGAAGGCTCACCGAACCTAGTCACACGTAAGACGAGCCGAGTTTCTTGCTACAAGCAATGTCTTTGATCTTTTCGCGCACTGCGGTATTCATATCGGAATGAGCAAATACGCTTGTTCTCGGACCCAGGTGTCTTCATGCAATGCAGCAAAAGCGAATTACTCGTCCCTCGTTTCCAGGCCACTCTATCACGACTCGCACACCTGACACACGTTATTTGACAGGCCCTTTATTCTGTAACCATCGTGTCGGCCCATCTTCTCCTCATCCTGGACCCTAAATATGACCAAAAATAGGGGGCGCAGCACACTCGCAACACCACCAATGCTTGGAACTGACCATCGTTTCGAACACATCTGTCAGGTGAGAGTTGAACCCAAGACGGGGGGGTGTTGGGCAGGATTTTTGCGGGCTTCCGTATGCTTGGGGCACACTACGCGCCTTGGATATCAATGCAAATGGCGTGGTGCCATGGGAGCAGGATCCGTCTAAAGCCTGGGAATTAAGCGCCTAGACGCGTGTTCGTGGCCTCATGGGAGAGAGGGGGGGGAGGGGTATCGAGGCGATTGCGTAAGGGAAATCCCGTCATGCTGTCTTATCGTACGGCCAAGTATGCCTGCGCTGGAGAAAAAAAAGAATCTCAAGTGAAGAATGGGCTGAGATAACGCAGATGGTGGGAAGTTGAGCAATCATAGTTCTATGATATGATAGTTTCCACAGATCTAGCTATTAAGCCAGTGTCAAATTTCCTCTTCTTCTTTTTTTTGCTTTTGCTTTTGCTTTTGCTTTTACTTTCACTAGCTCTTACCTAGAACAGGTGATTTAACTTGGGTAGATGCCTTCATAATCCGAACGCGTATGGCCCTAATGCAGACAGGGTGACGCCTCCATGTTTGGCGCCATGCGGGACAAGCCGGTTCGGGGGGGGGGGGGGGGGCTTTGCATGTTTACACCGGGTACGCAGACGTCTTGAATCTCCCTTTTCAGGCGCTCCCCTCAGCTGCCGGTAAAGTACGCATGCACAGGGCGAACATGAGGATGCATGGCATGTTGCATCCCGAGACTTCAAATACGCGTTGTATGGGGTGTGGGAAACGCGGAGGCTGCAACTGCAACAACAGCAGCAGCAGCAACGGTGACAACGATAACCGTGCTTCTGCTTCTTCATCATCTTCTTCTTCTTCGGCTTTTTTATTGTCGAGATCCTCTTTATTTCAAGTGCTCGCTGAGCCGGTTCATATTCGCCCTCTTTCTTCTTATCCCTCGCTGGGTAGCAGGCCTCACAACGACCACAAGAATAACGATACCACCACCACCACCACCACCAACAAGAACGACAGAACCAAGGCCAAAATGTCTATCCTCAAAGACCTCCAGTCGGATGAAAAATCCAAACCCTCCATCCTCCCCTTCCACACCATCACCACTTCGTCCCTCAAAGCCCCATCCACCGACGAGTCGACAACGCCTCGCACCACGACGTTCCGCACCGAAATCGCAGCCTTCATCGGCGAACTCATTGGCACCTTCATGTTCCTCTTCATGGCCTTTACCGCCGCCCAGATTGCCGTAAACTCCACGTCCAGCAGCAGCAGCAACAGCAATAGCAGTGGTTTGAAAGCGGGAGCGACACCACCGCCCGACCTACTCAAATTACTCTACATCTCGCTTGCATTCAGCATGTCGCTTGCGGTCAACGTGGCGATTTTCGCAGACATTAGCGGTGCGAAATTTGTAAGTTTTTTTTTTTGCCCTGGTTTTACCTCATGTTGAAGCGTGCTTTGACTAACGGTGTGTAAATGGCAGAACCCAGCTGTAAGTTTTCTTCCTGTCTCCCATCTTTCTTGGATGGAATAATCTTGTGTTGGATGGATAGATGCATGTCTGTCTGATGCCTTTCTTTGACTGTGATTATTACTGTGGACTCGATACTACAGTAATCCTTCACTTCACCCCAACCCCCCCGTCCCATGCACCACACAAACAACTAACCCCTCCCCCAGGTAACAACGGCGCTAGTGCTCACGCGAAAAATCCACTGGCACCGCGCACTGCACACGATCCTCGCACAGCTCGTGGCGGCCGCCACCGCCGCCGCCCTCGTCTCCACACTGATCCCCACGCCGCTGACCATCGACACGACCATCTCGCCCAGCACCTCCATCGGACAAGCCGTGCTGCTCGAAACCTTTGCAACCTTCCAACTCATCCTGACCATCCTCATGCTGGAAGGCAGCAGCGCGAAACCAATGTACATTGGCCTTGCGCTGTTTATTACGCAGATTAGCACCGTCTTCTTCTCCGGCGGCAGTTTGAATCCAGCAAGGAGCTTTGGCCCCGCAGTGCTAAATGGGTTTTTGGAGTACCATTGGGTCTACTGGGTCGGACCGTTGCTGGGCGCGGGACTCGCGAGCGGCGTGTACTGGGTCATTGGGTTTGTGAGGAGGGAGGCCGACGCGTTCTGAGGCTCTGTGTAGGAGAGTGTGTAGGGGTGGTGGTGGTGCGTGGTGGTGGAGTGGAGTGGCGTGAGGGAGAGGAATGTGAGGTAAAAGTGTAAGATTGGGGGTTGTATAATATTTGTATTTGCTTGAACCAGGGTGGTGGGTGGGGAGGGTTTTTACTATTTCTTTTATTTCTGGACCAAGTGTGGAAGGAGAGCGGGTGGGGGAGTTTGGATGCGTGGAACGGGATTTCACGCAGTTTTTTTCCTTATTTCTTTTCTTTTCCTTTCTTTTCTTTTTCCATCTTAACGATTTCTTCTTTGGTCCTTTTTTGCACTGGAGAAAAAAAGTCTTGCACGTAATTTTAGCTTCAGTTTTGGGTCTTCTCATCTTTTTCTGAATGACATGTTGGTAACTCTTGAATTTATCCCATATGCATCATATCAGGGCCACATTATAGATTGTATGTGGAAAGTCTATGTATATAGTGCTTCATCTCTTATGATTTTCTGTTGTTACGCAAAGGAGGGTGGGTATGACTTGTGATAATACCACGACAAACTTGAACAGCCTCCTATTACCTGCCAGGTACACAAATATTACTTCATCTCTTATTTCACGGAATACCATCCCTCCCACCTCAGAACCATCCACTCATTCATTACCATGTCACCTCACGCCACACCACGCAACACCACGCCACGCCAAGTTGCAACTGAAATTTCCAAACAACTACCACATGGCCTCCAATTCCTTGGCATCGCTCTCCTCATACGGAAACCTTTTTTCAGTATCCCTCACCAGCTCCTCATGCATCTGGGACCGAGGCCGGATGTCGCATGGAAACGGAGCGGCATGACTAACAGTGCCAGGCTCAAACCTGACGTCAGGCTCCAGGACACGACCCGCGGCATCCAGAGCCTTGGTAATTTCAAACACGGCCAGGGTCTGGGCAATGGTGACAAATAGCGCGTTATCGGCTACATGCCGGCCTGGACATATTCGACGGCCGTAGCCGAAGATGTGGCTCCGGGGATCTGGTTCCGGGGTATGTGTCGCTGTGGCCAGGAAGCGCTCGGGACGGAACTGCATGGGCGAGGGGTACACGGCGGGATCGTGCATGAAGAGCCAGTTGTTGGCGAGCAGGATGGAGCCTTTGGGGATGCGGTAGCCGCGGCACGTGTCTTCTTGGGTGCTGGTGTGGGGGAGGCCCATGGGCGCTACAAGATGCCATCGGTGTGTTTCTTTCATTACAGCCTCGATGTAGGGCAGTGACTCGAGGTCACGGCTGGTGGGGAGGCGGGAAGAGCCGATTACGCGATCGATTTCTTCCTGGGCTTTCTTCTGCACATCTGGGAACATGACCATGGCGAGGAAGAAGGTCATGATGGATGAGACAGTCTGGGATTGTTAGTGGAATGGAGAGTCGAGTACAGTGAGCTTACCGTGTCTGCGCCGCCAAGGTACAATGACAGGGCAGCCCATTTATGGACAAACTCCATTTCCTGGTCGGTGCCAATGCCGTCGATGCATTGAGACAGGAAAGAGGGCGTGTGTCTCTTGTCACGCATCTGCTGCTTGACGAATTCGTACGGCTGTTCGGTGCATTGCTTCAACTGAACAGCCATTTTCTTTGCAGTCTTTTTGAAGCCAGCGCCAGGCATCCAATCGGGCAGGTATTTGACTGAAGAATCAGAAATACTCCAGCAAACAGTATGCGAACTTACGGAATGGGAAAAGATCAACAGCCCAGCGTCCAGGAACCGTAGCGTCAGCGAACTGGTCCATAGTCTTGGATGCTAGATTCACAAGCGGATCTTCTCCGTGAGGCAGCGTATTGTACCCATAGGTAATCTTTAGAATGACACCCCCAGCCTCTTTCCGGATGTGGCCGAACAGATGCTCTGGCGCCTCCAACAGATTAACCAGAAAATGCGCCGCTTCAGCCTCTTGAACACGATCAAACACAGACAGCGACGTGTTCGTGCTCGCAATTTTAGTAATGTTTTTACGATGAATCTTCCACGTGTCCGCGTAGGGCATTAGGGCAGTGGCATGGCGCCAGCCGACCCTATCCGCTTGTCAGTACCAGACTGCTTTATGCACCAGCGCACTTACATGTCACCTGCAAAGACGAGGCTGGGCCGTGAAGAGTGGATGGCTGAACGGTCACGTAGGAGCTCCAGAGCAATGGCCGGGTCGTTGAGGATAACAATAGTCTGGCCCATGACAGTCACAGAGGAAATAGGGCCGTAGAGGTCCTTGTGCTGAAGCCAGTGGTGGCACTCGAGCACGCCGGGTTTGGGCATGTCATTGACATTTCCCAAGATTGGAATGCCCTTTGGTCCAGGCGGCAGAGGCAAAGCATTTTTGCTCTGCCAAAACTTCCTGGCAGCATACAAGATGCCGATGGCTACGAGAAGAAGAGCAGTAGCAGGCGTTAGACTGGCCATGGTGACCGAGGATGAATGGACGACGAGGATTTTTCAAGTGGCTACATGGCCATCGATCCTTCTTTCAAGGTTGCATCTGCCATGTTTAATAATGAAATAGCGGGGCCTGGCACCTGGGTATAATATAATAGGCTAGAGACAGGGCCGGAGACAGTGCCGTACACAGGGGCAGGTGCAGAGTCGGGCGTAGTTGTAGCGCACTTGGATCCTATCAGGTAATGCCGTTGCAGTAGCCATTTACCAAATGCAGCGTAAGCGCTGGCGACCCACTGGCTCAGGTTTCTGGCTCCATGGGTGGATTGGGTTCGTCGGCGCCCCGCCCGCTGAGACTTGTGAGTGTGATTGGTGGGTTTAGTAGTGCTTAGGAGGGGTGTCGGGGTGTCGGGGTTGCTTTGACAGAGTTGCTCGGGCAGAGAGTCTTTGATGAGCTGGATGAGCTGGATGAGCTGGATGGAAAGTGTGACGGCGTAGAGGGGTCAATACAGGGTTTGGTAAATGGCGCGTGGCATCGGTGAGGTGGGCCACATGGACGGGAGTGCCGCGACATGTGTGCGTGGGCGTGGGTCTCCCGTGGCAATTACGTCATGACTATGCTAGTCTTGGCTAGGAAGGAGGAGAGAAGACGCTGGACCTAAGTCATGTCATGTGTCAGTTAGCCTCTCCAGATGGACAGCAACGTGGAGGAGTGCTATATACAGTGCAACATGATTCGCAACTTTGAACACCAAAGTGAAAGTGAGGTAGGATATAGCTGTGGTTTATTAACCACGATAGCATACGCTCTATCTTGGCCCACGTCTACTATAGACCAAACTGACCCTCAACCTCCCTTCTCTTCTGCTCCCTCTCCATTTCTTGCCGGAGCTTCTCAGCGTCCTCGGTAATGCCCTTTTCACCCTTCTTGCGCTGTCGCTCTTCGTATAGTGCTCGGCCCTTCATGATTCTGGCTACAATCTCGGCGGCATTGACGTTTTGGAAGCCATGGTCGGCAATCTCACGGTAAATGTTCATCGACTTGGGGACGGCATAGGGGTCGAACTGGAGGGGCATAAAGGTGGTTTTGCCGTGGTAGACGGTGAGGGGCTCCGAGTAGGGCAGTGCCTGGAGGAAGGCCTTGCTGAGGGAGAAGGGCGAGCCGAAGATGGTGGCATGGACGTACTGGGCTTGTTAGACAACAACAACAAGGAGTGATGACAAAAAACATACCTTGCACTGCAAAACGCACAGGCCGCGCTCAAAAATGTTCATGATGGGGTAGTTGATGCCTTTCCAGTGGTTGATAACCTCGTCGTCGTGGACGCCCGCAATCAAAAAGACGGGGCCATAGTCGTCGCCCGTCTTCTCCACGCGCTCCTTCTTGGCCTCTTCCGTGTACCATCCATTGTCCCTGGCGCGATGCTCTTCGGCCTGTGTGACGGAGCGGAGGAATTCAATGTGGCCCGACGAGAAGAGATCCCAGCCTCCGTCGACATAGACGACCGACTGGCCTGGCTTGACGCCCTTGCCCTGGACGAGCTGGTGGAACTTGCCCTTTTCCTCCTTGACGGGTGCTACGGGCGAAGTGGGGGATTCTTGGCGATGCGCGCCGGGCCGGGTGGGGCTGGTTACGGTGGCGGTGGTGGTGGTTCTGCGCAGCTTGACGGGACGCGAGGCATGCCAGTACCACACATCGCAACCCGGGGCGCGGCCAGTGGCATCCGTGGCATAGTCCTTGATGCGCTGCAGCATTTCCTGGCCAGCCTTTGTACGCTCTGCCTCGTCGCCGGGCCCTTCGTCGCCCGACAGCCTCTTTTCGAGCGAGGGGATAAAGTGCGACTTTGTGCACAGCAGCATGCGGCCAACGAGGTCGGTCGTCGAGATGCCCGGAGTGCGCTTGACAACCTTGAAGCGGCCGGCCTGCTTGACGTAGCGGTAGCAGTCGCGGCCGTCGCTGTCCGAGGTGATGTCATCGCCGTGGACGACGTACTGGCAGCCGTAGTGGGTGATCCAGGGCAGCGACGTGACGTAGGGGGCTCGCGGAATGGCTTTGGTGGCCCAGCGGCAGGCCTCGACGGCCGTGACACTATGACTGTCAGCGGGAAGTTTGGTGGTATAGCGTACCGAGATTGAATACCGCTCGTCCAGGCGCATGACCGTGGGGCCCTTGTTCTCGAGAATGGCCTCGTCCGAGTGCACGCCGACGTAGAGCTCTTGGCCGAGCTGGCGGGCCTGCAGCATGGCGCCGGCATGGCCTGGGGAGGGGGGGAGTGAGCGCGGTGCAGCAGTGCAGGGTGGATTGGACGTACCGTGGTGGGCAAAGTCGAAGCAGCCGTCGACCCAGATGCGCTGGTCCGAGACGTCGACGTGGTGCTGGGGGTCGACTGGCCACTGGCCCTCGGTGGGGATCCATTCGCCCTGGGGGGTGGGTGGGTGGTTAGCGAGTGGTGGAGGGTAGAGACGTGTATGGAGCGGGGGGGGGCAGTACTCGGGCGCTCTGTCTGCGCTGCATGGTGGCGTGGAGGGCGGAGGGCGGAGGGCGGAGGGTGGAGGGAGTCGTGGTTGATGGGAGTCGTTGGGGTAGGTGGAGGACGAGGTGGAGGCGGCGGCGGAGGCGGCGGTGGTGATGATGGTGTGGCTGCAGTCTGCACGCGCGCTCTCGTGTCGCTGGGCTCGCGTCTCGCAGGCACAGGCGCAGGCACAGGCACAGGCACAGGCACTGGCGCAGCAGCCGAGCAGAGGTCTGGTCAAGTCATGGGCGTGGGTGGAGGAGCCTGGGCTGCACGTGGCTAGCGAGCCATGATGCGCCCTCGTCTCGTGACTCGCCGGGCTCGTATGGCCACAGGCACAGGCACAGGCACCGGCACTGGGCACAGGGGGGGGGGGGCGGCGGGCGTGTTCCTGCGTCGGCGTGCTTGATAGGCGCGCACCTGGAGAAGCCATCGGCGGTTGATGCGCGAACCGAAACCAGACCTGAGGGTTTCGCTATGGCAGCTTTGGCAGCAGGCCTGTGTGCTGGTACGCGCGCGCGCCCGCCTGCACCGCTCCGCTCTGCACGTCTTTGTAGATAAAACGGCCTCGCATCCCATCGCCTGCCCGCCTGCCTGCCCGCCTGCCTGCCTGCCCGCTGCTGCTGCTGACACCGCCCGCCCGCCACGACGACTGCCCCCCTCGGCGCCCCCCCCCCTCGCCCCTCGCCCCTCGCCCCTCGCAAATTGCCTTGTCCAGGCCCCCGCGGCAGGCTCAGTCAGGGCCCCGTGACGTGAAACCGCTGCCCACACTGCCCGCCGCCCGCCGCCCGCCGCCCCTGATCGCTGGGCTGCCCCACCCCTTTTCTGCCTGCTGCTGCTGCTGCTGCTGCTGCCCGCCGCGCAGCCAAGGGCAACCAAAGGGCCACGCTATTGCACCGTCTAGACTCTCCCCACCATGGCCGACGACGACGACGGCCACCACTTCCACCACGCCGCGGCGACGCAGAGCATCTTCTCGCGCCGCCCCTCCTTCTTCGGCGGCAAGTCGCGCGCATCGCGCCAGCAGGCCGCCTCGTCCGTCTCGTCCGTCTCGCACGCTCCCGCCCAGCACCCCCCGCCCACGCTCAATCTCCAGCCCGCTGCTGCCAGCCGCGCTGGGCTAGCCACTCCCCCTCTCGACGCCGACCAATACGAATTATCCGTCCACCGCCCCACGACGCCACACCGCCGCAACCACTCGAGCAGGCACAGCATCGCCTCGTCCGTCACCGATCTCGGCTCCCAGCTGCGCTCGTCGCGCTCGGCCTCGCTGCGCACAAACACGTCTGACAGCACCCGCAAGACGTCGTCCTCGCACACGAGGACCCCCTCGGCCACCCTGGCCCTCGCCCACTCGCCCGAGAAGGCCCCCGGCCCCCCCGCCGCCGCCGCTGCCGCTGCCGCTGCCGCTGCCGCCGCCGCCACGTCCGCGTCTTCGTCGGCCGCGCCCTCGAATGCCTCGCGCCCCGTCCTCTCCGTCGCCACCTTTGCCCGCACCAGGCAAAAAAGCAGCGACAACGTCAGGTCCGACGCCTCGGCCCACGCCCACGCCCACTCTGCCTCGACCGCCCACGACAAGAGCCCCCTCGGCAGCGCCCTAGACAAGCCCAAGACGCCCTTCGCCATGGCCGTCCCCATGCCACTGCGCCATCCCCCCTCGCAAAAGGACATTCTGCACGCCAACCAGCAGTCCAACCGCACCCTCGCCCCCGCCGCCCCCATCCCGGTGCCCAACGGCTCCAATCCCCACCTCGTCTACCAGCACATCCACGAGCTCGCCTCGAAACGCATATCCACGCTCGACTACCTGCGCAAAGCGTATGCACCACCTCTCTTCCCCCCTTGTTTGCTTCCTTCGCTCGCTCCCAGCTAACCATTGCCCCTTTGCCGGCCTGCAGTCACGAGGGCCGGATATACTGGTTCAACACGCTGCTCTTCTCCAAAACCGACCTCACCCGCCTCCCCTCGTACACGACGCGCAACCAAGCCCGCCGCGCCACGCACTACCTGCTCCTGGGCTTCTCGCTGCCCACCATCCTCGACCTCAACGCAAACTCGCCCTCGGACTACCTCAAAGCCCTCAACGCCCTGCTCATTGAATTCGAGCAGTACCAGTCCATCCACCCCCCGGATGGCTCCACACCCTCAACCCTCAGCCGCGCCCGCCTCCCGCAAATGTTCAAGCGCGCAAACATGGGCATGACCATGGGCATGGGAAGCAAAGGCCGCCGAAGCAGCAGCGCAACCGGCGACTTCCCCATGCTCACCCCCAGCAACAGCTTCACGGGCAACGAGAGCACAAGCATCGACTCCCCGCCCACCGACGACCTGCTCCCCAACGAATCCTACACACACCTCCAAACACCCTCGCTGCCCTTTGACCCAGACTTCTTCAGCACTTTTGCTACCCTCTGCGACGTCCTCATCGACTGCTACACCCGCATCCTCTCCATGCTCAGCACCCCCGAAAGCGTCACCATGGCTGGCGGCGGCGCTCCCAGCCTCGTCGGCGACTTGTTCAACAAGGCCGATACCCGCGTTCGCAAAATCATCCTCGCCGGCGTCGTCAAGGAATTCGAGGATAGTTGTCGTGCCGGCGTCAAGAGCGAGGTGGGTGGTGTGGGCAAAGTCGTCCTTGGTGGATTGATGTGATGGTCTATTATTACAAAAAGTTCCATCTTTTGCCCCATGTTATGATGTCCATGTTTTTCCATATCTCTCTCTCTCTCTTTCTCTCTCTTTTTTTTGTAATTTTTTTTTGTATTTTTGAATGATATCCAGAATTTTGTTCTTTTTTTTTCTTTTTTCAGTTTTTAGTATCGGAAGGGGGGTGGGGGATATCAAGTGTGTGGTGGGGGGGGGGGGGGGTAGGATGGGTGGTCGGTGGGGGTTGTTTGTTTTGTTTGTTTTTTTATCTGTGTTTCTTCGAAAGACGACGGGGCGACGGGGCGATGGGGGGGAGGGAGGGGTGAATACATATGTATCATACATAGACATATATTCTTCAGTCCACATTTCATGTCTCTTTTTTTCTCTTTTCTTTTCTTTTCTCTCTCTTTCTTTCTTTCTCTCTCTCTTTTCTTCGTTACCACCACCTTTTTATCGATAAAGAGAGAAAACGGGGAAAGATACAGGATATAGAACATGAATATGAACATCAACAAGTACAAGTACAACTAAGAATAATAACATATTTTTTTTGTTTTTTTTAAGACGAGAGTTGGAATCAATTTCTAGTCTTTGAGTCTTGCTTTTCTCTCTCTCTCTCTCTCTCTCTCTCCCGCTCACTCACTCACACTCACTCGCTCACACTCACATGCATTGGTGCTCCTTCGTACATGCCCGCAATGTCTCTCTATTTTCGCATTTTCCTTTCTAACTCGTCATATCAACGTGCTACAGTAACACAGCGACAATCCCCAGCCAGTTCAATCCCAGCAGATACTCACGCCGCAGCAGCAGTAGCAGCAGCCTCATTCTTCTCTACCAAATCCACCACGCCCTTGTTCCTACCCACCTTGACCTTTTTCTTCTTCTCCTTGTCAACGGCCTTAGCCTCGCTGCCCACGGGGTCTCCCTCGTCGACGCCTTCAGATCCGAAAATCTGCTCTTCTTCATCCCTGAGCGTCTCCTTCAGGTCCGCCAGCTCAATGCGCATGCTATACGCATCCTCGCCGTCGGCATAGTACTTGGCCTCGACCTTGTCCACGCTGAAGCCCAGCGTGTTGCGGTACAGGTGCAGAGCAGCCGTGTTGGACACGCGCACGTGCAGAGATACGTAGTGCGCGTGGAATGTCTCGGCCATGGCGCGCTGCGACTGGCGCATCAGTTTCTCAGCGAGCCCCAGTCGGCGGTGCGTGCGCATCACGGACAAAGAGGTGATGTGGCCGTGTTGCACACCGTCGGTGGGTTCTTCCTCCATTTTCGCCAGGACATAGCCTACGATTTTGGGGGGGTCGTAGGGGCTTTTGGGGGGGCGCGAGACCTATCACTGTGTTAGTCTTGGTTTTCCTAGCTGGGGGCATTTCCGGTGTGCTGGAATGATGGGTGTGTCGGGAATGGTATGGCTGTGTCACGTGGAACGTTGTTTTCTCTCGTCGTTGTTCTTCTCTTCTTTCCTTGGTTACTCCGTCTCTTGCGCCATATACACCCACCCACGACCCATGTCCCGTATAAATGTCGAGTAGAAACAGACACAATTATGTCCAGATACTTACATCAACCGCCACATAGCTCAGCTGCGGCCAGCTCATGGCATGGTAGAGATAGTACTTGCAAAAGTAGTTTTCAGGCAAATTGGTAATATTCGCCAGTTGCACATGCGGAATATCTTCTGGACGCAGCACTCGAATATCCATCTTCTCCTTCTTTTCTTGCGAACCTCAATTCCTCTCTTTTCTTTTCTTACTTTTCTCTTTCTCCTCGCCCGCTGCCGTGTCAACCCGACGACAGATACAAAACAGGCGTCGACTCGGGAGAAGAACGAGAGATAAAGGACACGAAACAGCCCGGGAGCAGTGCCTTGGTCGGCGGAGCGCTAATGCAAATGCGGAGGCGGGAATGGGGGGAGGGGAAGTCGTTGGGGAAGTGAGTTCTCATGGACGTTTTGGGGCAAAGTGCGTTATGTAAGCGTTTGCTGTGGGGTCGGGGTTTAGCCTAGCGCGGGGCTTAGCTCCGTTGGCTCTCGACGGATATTGATATTGATATTGATATGTACGCATGATTATTGCTATTGACGCGGCATATACAGTTGTGAACGCAGTAATGTCAACTACCTATTATTCAAGCCAAACAAAAAAAAACTACATGATATGTCAAAACACGTCTCCTCACATTCACATATACTGCCTCTGGTAATAACCAATAATCAACAAGCCCAGCTTGTATCCAGCGCTCAAACACTATCCACGTGCCACCAACTAGAAAAAAAAAACTAAGAAATATGTTGCTCAGGAATATAGAAGAGAAGAAACAAAACACGTCGCTCGCAAATGCACTAGTCACAAAACGCCTCCAGGATGCTTCTCTTTGCTTATGCTCCGTTCGTATGCCGTAAATCATAGAGGATCCCGCCTTTTTTTCCATGCCCTCACACCCATTGCTCATCGCCCGAGGATGTAATCAACACTCGGCTTCACGATAGGCATGAAGCCTTCGGTAAACGGCACATATAGCGCCTTTTTCAGCCCAAGCTCCACCCCGGCGTAGTACATGAGGCGGTTGATCCACTCGCGTCGTGCTGGAACATCCATCTTTTTCGGTTCGGGAATGTTATAATCCAAATAAGGAATATCTAAAAGCAAATCATAAGGATGCGGCGGATTCGAGTCAAAAACGTGGTTTTTCTTCGCCTTGACGTCGAGCAATGGTGTACTTTTAACTGGACGATTGCTTGCATCCGAGAACTGGTCAGACTCTGATTTTTGGATGATATGAGAGAGCTCAGTAAATGGAGGTGCCTCGGCATAGGCGTCCTTGATACCCGAAGAAATATTCGATTGGAACGGCTCTGGACTGGACTGCATCGTCGGCGAGGGGGAAAAGTTGGCTGGTGGAGAATGGGTGGAGCTCTGTGGACTTTTTGACCCATTAATATCAGGAACCAGACGTGAGCTGAGAACAGAATCCATGATGCCCAATGGCCAGATGCAAACATAGCCTCTCATGCCCACGACATCATCGAATGATTTGAGATGGATCGGGACGGTGAAGCTACCAATCAAAGCTGAGCAAGTCTTTTCAATGACTTCGACCAAATGGGTCGTAGCCATTGAGTGACGCATACAAAGATTCCTGGTCGTGAGCACAGCAGGAATATACTGCTTCTGTGTGGGTGTAGGGCCATGTCCAGACATTGGAGCGCCGGGAAGGTCGGGTTCAGGGAAGCGCAACAGCCAATTAATCATCTCGAGAAGGTCGCGCAACAGGAACATCCGGGTGGTTCGGTAGAAACCCCAAATCCAGCATCTCTTCAAGCTCGCATATGCGTGAATCTCTGGTGGGGCACCTCGACCTGCTAGGAAGAGATTTTGCAATTTTGCATCGTACGCGGCCCGGGCCTCCGGGGTATTCGGTGTCATGCGATAATCCCACGCTGGGGCGATTTTCGCATCCCAGGCTTGAAAGTCGCCATCTAGGTCGAGAGCCACCTGGAAAATCTCCTGCATAGCCAATCGGCTGGTCGGCGGGTTGGCGCTCTTCTTAAACTCATGCCATCTCGCATGTAATACGGCCTCTCTCCAGATTAGACGAATGACAAAGACGTGCGAGTTGCTGTAGAGACTTGGGAGGTATTCCTCCGCTTTGACTATCTCTCGCGTAGGGATAGGCGGGCGCCTTGCTGACTGCAGATTACCCAGTAACTATTGGACAGGGTCAGCACTGGGGAGAGACGGCCTGAGGCGGGGTTACCATTTGTGCATATGCTACTTCGTAGACTCGGGCTGAGATGGGATCACTGTAGTACTGCTCGACAGTGCGTAGCTGGAGCAAAGCGTTTGCACCATGGTGATGCGCTATAAACGTGCCCTTTCGCTGCACGTTGGTGAGGTTCTGAACCTTGTTAGCATTGTGCCGTTGGTAGGGGGGCCTCTGCATACCTCGTACACTCCCATCAGATACACAGAACACAAGGCTTCGTTTGTGGCCGACTGCCTCTTGTCGGCTATGACCCTGGTCAGCATGGGGATGGCCTTGGCAACGCATTCTTCTCCTAGTGCAGCTGCATGGGGGTCGTTGCATCGATTCGAGTAATTGACATAGGCAACGGCGTCGACGACCATGGCGATCAGCGAGTCCTCGGAGGCACCTTGGTAGAGCACAGGGATAAAGGTCCACAAGGCATCCGAGGGCTCGTCCTTGGGCATGGAGGGCGAGTCTGGCAGCACAAAGTCGTAGACAAAGCGCTCGAATGCTCTTCGCCGGAAATCAGGGTTCACTGCGGGGGTGATGGTCATCTTACTCAGGTCGATGGTTGGGGGAGCCACGTTGGACGATGCATCCTGGCCAGGATCGTCGGTAGATCCGCTGGGCGAGTGCACACTTCCGCTCGAGGAGCGCGTGTCGTCGAGCGTGGGCGGGGTGGATTCATCGCTTGGAGGCGTCTTGACATAGGCGTGGTTGTGGTTGTGGTGGTTGCTGTTGTGGCTGTTGGTGGTGTCGGCCGTCGAGGGGCGCTGGTGCGACTTGGAGCGCTTGCGCCATGATTCCTCGGCCCTCTGTGCAGCAGAGGCCGTCTGGTTGCGGAAGAGGATATCCGCCTGGTCACGATACTTGCATTCGTGGCTGGCCTTGGTGCATCGACTACAAGCTGGCCTAGCCTCGTCGCACTAATGTCCGCAATCAGCCTCGCCGTGTGCGGCGGCGCTCTGGCCACGGGTGAAGCAGTCGACACGCGTACTCACCTTGACCTTACGGGCTCGACAAGCCTCGCAACCCTTGCTGGGCCGTCCGCGATAGGACATTGACGGGCAGTGAGAGGGTGAGACGGCGAGGCGGCGAAGCAGCAGCGAAGCGGCAGGCTCCGGATGGCGGTTGGCACGCCAGATCTGGGGCGGCTACGGAGACGGGACTAGCGCAGGCAGGCTGAGGTCGTCGCCCGCACACGGGGGAAAAAGCAAAAAACGCAAAAACGCAGGAGATGGCGGCGAGGATGCGTGAAGCCGGGCCTGCTCTCGCGCTCGTCCTGGGGCCTCGTCGCGGGCGGGCATGCAAGGTCGCGGGGCGCCAGAAGCGGAGTAGCGCGCCGTCACGTGGAGCTCTGGCTGGGGCGCCGTCACAGGCGTGCAGGCAGGCGCGCGGTGCGTGGCGGGAGAGCGTCCATATACGTCGTGTGGGCGGGATGGCGGGGGCAGAGGCAGAGGCAGAGGCAGAGGCGGAGGCAGAGGGGCGTCGCAGCATGGGCATGGGCGGCGGGAGTGCGAATGGGCATGCGAATGGGAATGCCAGGTCGTCGGGAGAAGGGACCAGGACCTGCATGGCGATGTGCCGCCGGCGTGCGTCGTGCGTCGTGCGTCACAAGCGGCAGGCCTCCGACCGTTGCTGAGTCAAACCTTGGGCGCGGGGCTTGGCGGTCCAACGGCTTTCCGCGCTTCTGCGGCCACTGCAACACCACGACCGCCTCTCCACCCTCCAGCCTCTGCCCCTGTTTCGACGCACCCGCAACCGCAACCACAGCTGCACCCGCCGGCCGGCTAGCGCCTCCTCTCCTGCTCCTTCGCGCGCCTGCGCTGCCCCCTCGCCATGCACTGCTCGGCCTGGATATCCGCCCACTCCCGGCGCCTTGCCTCGCGCTGCAAAGGCTGCACAAAATGCCGCGCCCTCAGTTGGCACTCACTCGTATGCCACGGCGCCACCCAGTCAGCGTCGGTCATCTGCCGTCTGCTCGGTCCTTCTGGCGCCCCGCCGGCCTCCAGACATGCCATAGCCCGCTGCCCGCAACGTCGCCGCATGTCGAGTCCGGCGCTGGTGCTGCTGCCATGACGTTCGCCAGGGGCCGTGTTTGATTTCTGCTCGTATGCAAATACCACCCGGCATCCGACGCTCCTGTAAACAGGGGCGGATCAGCAATCTACACCTGTGATCACCGCGATTCAGTTTCACGCTACCCCAAGTTTCGGCCTTTTCGCCATGGTTGACACTTGACAGGTTTCCACGCGATGCCTGTTTCGCCGCTTCAATCACAGTACATAGTACATACATGGTGCCATTACAGCTTTGCTAGCACATGCCGCCCCCCGTCCCCACTGCCCAGCACAATCTCATCACTGCGCCAGTCTGGATTGAACGTTACCAGGTTCAGTGGGTTCTTCCGGTGCGCCATATCAAACAACGCCTCGCATACCTTGCCATCGTATCTACCGAGCGCACTGTTCAGCAGCCAGTCCGGTATCGACCATGCGTCTACCAGCTTCACAGCATGTGGTCGTAGCTCCGCCATCAAATCAAGTATCGCGTCCTGCAGCTCATACACAGACTCGGACGAAACAGCACCCGCCATGGTGAACGACGAAGCGTACTGATCGAGCGTGTACAAGGCGTACAGCTGGAAGCAAGTCCGCAATACCGCCCTGTTGTCGGGCGGAGAAACGCTGCTGAGGCCATTGTAAAAGTTGCTGACAAGAATCTGCTCAGAATATGCACGGCTGAGATTGTGAAGCTGCATCATCAGGCGCGTCCATGGCTGCTTCTCCACAACGCGAGCCTGGTAGACTCGATATGATACGTCTGCTGCGCGCCATTTGAACACGTCCACTATGCTCTGGTCATCCACAACGCCCTCCTTAACCACAGTCTGCGGAATGCGACGAGTGCGGTTCTCGAGAAAGAATCGGAACAGCTCGTCAGTCGGGCCTTTGGGCGCGGCGTCTGGGTCCTTGACAGCATCACCCATCTTTTTGATCAGATGTGCGGCCACTTGTTGTGTAATCATCCAGTTGTCCCCCTCAACCGTCGGCTTGGACAGGTAGTCGGCGTTCAGGCCAACGAGTCCACTTCCACCGCCGAAGCCATGTCCACCCATTGCGCGCCGACATGTCTCAATACCGTCAGCGGCAAGCGTGGTACAAAGACTCTTCAACCCCGAGCTTGCGCTGTGCAATTCAGCCAAGGGACCAAAGTCGCCCTTGTCTATGGTCTGGCGCGACTTTTGGTACAGCTCATACATGTATTCGCCCGTGTAGTGCAGTGCAAACGTCGTCGCAAGCAGTGGCAGTATTCGTATCTGCACAGTCGGATAGTCGAGGACTTGCATCTCCTCGTCCAGAGGGCTCGATGAATCGCGATCCTTGAATTGTCGTCTGATGGCACAGTACCGCACGGCGACGGTGACTGCGCGGGCAAGGACTAGTCTTGCCTGCATGATGATCTGTCCTCGAACAAACGTCAAACTTCCATAAACAACAGCCGGATGACCTGACCGGACGAGAGCGCCCGTATCGTCCGAAACGTCTGCATACCGACTCAGCATAGCCGACTTGGGTACGCGAAAATGGTCAAACAGCATGTAGCCATTGTCCATACTGGCATAGCCATATTTCGGGCCGATGTCACCCACCGCTATTCCGGGCAGAGCCTGGTGCGTCTTTTGATCCGGAATTTGCAGGATGAAAGTTTGCGGGCCGTGAGCGACGTAATCAAAGTCGCGGCGGTTCGGGTTGGATTCTTTGCTCTTGTCAGACGAGGTGCATAATTTCGGCAACAGCAATTGCGCCACAACAATCTACACATGGCGCGCGTTAGCCATGGGCTCTGTCTCTCTCCATCTCTCTCTCTCTGGAGGTAGCCGTAGCGTTCTGGAACGTCGTACAAAAAGGAGGGGTATGCGCGGACACTTACAGCATGTGTGGCGGTCCTGCCCATGGAGCCATTCCACCACTTGCTCGCCGTCAAAGTCGGGCTGTGAATCTCGAACTCCTTCTTCACAGGATCCCACTTGGCCGTGGTTTCGAGCCCTCGCACATTGCTGCCGTGGCCCAGCTCAGTCTGGGCATAGCACCCAATGATGTCGTAATTGAGGATCTTGGGCATCCAGTGGCGCTGCTGCTCCTCGGAGCCTTGCTCGCGTACAGTTGTGGCTACGTGCCACGGTGCATGTCAGCCCCAGCACCCCCCCAAGTCACACAAGTCATGCATAACATTTCGACTATGGTCACGATTGGACTCACCAAACATGGTCATATGCAAATAGTACGGGCTTGTCTCGTCGGTCAGGTACTCGGCCATCTTGTAATCCTCGTGATCCCAGCCCTCGCGCCTCATCAGCCGCTGGATGGCCTTTGCCCGCGCCAGGCCGAGGTGATAGCGCTCTGGCCGCGAGAGGTTGAGCGTCTGGTCTTTGTTGAAGAGCTTTTCCTTTGTCAAGACGGCGAGGACCTTTTGCTGCCGTTCGAGGAAGCCATGGCGGCCCAGCAGGTGGTGTGCCAGTCGGTCAAGGTGAATGCACGAGCGGTCGCGCTCGGCCTGAAGTGCCGCGGTGCCATTGTACAAGGGCCTGAGGGTGTCGGTGAAATCTGTCATTCTGCAATTGGTCGCCTGCGCGCTATCGAGATCTGGTAAGCCGGCTAGTTGGTCAGCCGTAGGAAGCGAGGTTGGGTGTGGATCTCTGTCTTGTCGAGGATGGTGAAATTGTCATCAACAGGTAGAGTACCGCAGCAGGTATCGTGAAGGGGGAAACCTCGGTAGCATTTGGCAAACGCTAATGCACAGAATGCAAAGGGCACTTTCTGCCTCGGTTCGCGCAGTCGATTGGCTTCCATAAGGGTTGGCGGGAGGGGGCGTCGCTGATGCGCGCAACGATGCGGGGAGGGGGGACCTCGCCTGTTAGGCATGTGGAGCCGGGCGGCAGGGCTGGGGCTATCCGGTGCAGGCAGCGTTGACTAGAGTATCCTGACTAGTGGACGATCGGGGGGGTTGACCTCACCAGTCAGCAAAAGAACACCAGGTAAACAGAAAAAAACAAGCTGGGGATTGGAATCGGCCCTCGGAGGTCGTCTCTACGGACAGAAGACCGGCAACTTTTGAACACCAGAAAACGCTAATCAACAAGCAGGCTAATCGTACAGGATATCAGATGTCCCAAACCCAAGAGGTGAACCGAGAAGAGGAAAACATGCGCCCCCCCCCTCTTCGCTATGCCAGTCCCAAAAACACCCAATACGCCCTGAGCCGTAATAGCACTGAAAAGAAAAGAAAATTCGTCCATGAAGGGAATGGCCTGTTGCACGCGCGTGCCCATCACGCTTCTCTTGGCCAGACCCTAACGCCACTCTACTCAATCACGGCGTCTGCCCAACTGCGCAGGCCGCCCTCTTCGTTCAGCACACGCGTCATATCCTCCTCAGCGAGTCGTACCAGAATCTCAAACGGCGCCTCTTCCTGGTTCACGGGCTGCCTCCGCCGGGGGAGGAAGATCATCCCGCCGTCGCTCGGCCCATAGGTTCGCCTAATGAATTCAGGCCGGCCGGCAAGGGATTGCTTACCCTGGTCGGTGCCGGGGATGCCCCAGCTCAGGTCTGCGCCGAAGTTGAGCCAAGACGAAATGTACATGTCTGAGCCGAAGTTGAGCGCCAGCGAAACCTCTGTATCGGTGATTTGGTCCACCGTTTTGAAGAAGTTGAGGTGCCGCGTGACCCATTTGTCGTCAACGCCCTGAATGGTGCGCTGGATCTCTGCTATGACGCCGAGGATGGTGGCGGTGGTTACACTGCGCGCAGAATGTTTGTCAGTCTGCTGTCTTGGACCTAAAGGTGAGCTGTCCAACATCTAGACCAGCACCTTGTACGGTGTGACAAGGGGGTGCAGTGCCGAGTAGGACAACCGTGACAGAGAGAGGTATGGAGAGAGAGAGAGAGAGAGTGGGGGGGGGGGGGGGAAA